GGCTCGTTATGGAGTTTGATAGCCATTTGGGCAAGAAACTGCTCTTGCCTGGACTATTGCATAAACTGGACACAGAGAACCCACAGAGAGAGAACTACTGAACTTGCCTAAGGTGAGATGATCTTTTGGGGTTCCTGATTCATGAAAGAGTCTGTGAGACATTCTGCAGGACACAACAGATAGTGACTGAACTGACTTTGAATTTTCCTGCTTTATGGAAATGTCTGCTGGATACCATGGGCCTGAAGGCTGAAGATGGATGCCCCAACGGTACAGAGGAACTTTGGGTGACTGTCCAGGCAGCGAGATGTCTCTGTCATTTCTATAGTTTAAAAGTTGCTTTTGTCTTGTTTGCTTAGGTAGTATTGTATCTTTCTGGAGTCTTTGATGGAGTTAAGAATAGTTAGTTATAGTTATAGTTTTCCTTAGTTATGATAAAGATTATTGTAACTTTTACTTGATAACTGTTTTGTTATATGTAATTTTGCTATGTTAAAGCCTTTTTTTTTTTTTTTGTTTAAACCGAAAAAGGGGAAATGATGGAGGAAGGTCATTGGCTAATAAAGGAACTGCCCTGGCCCATTTTATTGGTTAGAGGATAGGTGGGAGGAGTAAACAGAACAAAATGCTGGGAGGAAGAGGAAGTGAGCTCAGAGACTCCACAGCTCTCTCGGGAGCAGACGCCTCAGAGAGAGACGCCATGCCCCGCTCCCAGGATGAAGCTCCGACCCAGGATGGACTAGGCTGGAATCTCCCCGGTAAGCGCACCTTGGGGTGCTACATACAGATGATTAGAGGTGGGCTAAATTAATATGTGAGAATTAGCCTAGAAGAGAATGGGCCAGGCAGTGTTTGGAGGAATACAGTGTCTGTGTAATTATTTCGGGGCATAAGCTAGCAGAGCGGGCGGCTGGGGTGCTGGGGTGCTGGGGAAGAGGCCCCGCCGCCCCTAATACTACATATGGCGCCCACGTGGACAACTGCTTCCACATAAAGCCTGAGACAGCTTGGGAAGTAATTCTAGAACAAAATGAAAGCATTGTGCCTGGTTTCTTGGTAGCAGCAATTTCTCGGTTCTACTCTGCTTGCTCGAGGCAAGCAAGCGCCTCATCTAAGAGAGGCTTCCTGACTCAGCTTTAGCTGCAAAGCCTGCAGCTCATTAAGAGGTCCTGCCACGAAACACTTAAATGGTGTTGACGAAAAGCTGAACACATGCTTTTTGGTTTTCAGCCATAGCAGGAAAAAAGCTGCACCGTTTAAAAATGCCGGCTTTCTGGGCTGTCCTGCCAGGACAAACTCTGACTCTTTTATGCAGGCGGTTTGTGCGGTTTGCAAGCATAGGCTGCTGAAGCTCGCTTGCTGGCTACAGCCAGTACCTCAGCCATGAGGCTGGAAAGCTAAGGAATGGGCTGGATCCAGCCGGCAAAGCCACGCCTTTATTCCTACTGATATTGCTTGGTAAATTAAAGACTCATGTGGTCAGAAAAAGAGAGATATACAGTAAAGAGAGATTCAAAGACAAAGAAAATTTTTAAATGGTTTACTGTGTGTTAAAAATATATGAAGACTAAAACTTGAAGTTCTTAAAGTAAAAAACAAAAAAAGGAAGAGAGTTGTTGTGTGTGGTAGCACACACCTTTAATCCCAGTGCCTAGAAGACAGAGACAAACAGATCTCTGTGAGTTCAAGGTGTACTAGTGTACACCTTTAATCCCGAATGCCTGGGAGGTAGAGACAGGCGGATCTCTGAGAGTTCAAAGACAGCCTGGTCTACAGAGTTACTTCAGGTCAAAGATACAGAGAACCTGTCTCAAAAAGCAAAGAGTTAAAAGTAAAAATAAACAAAATAGAGGTTAAAACAAAGCTGCACAAAGATGGAAAATACACAGAGAATTTTGATACTGTATGCTATTATGCTCTCTTTGAATTGTTTGAATGCTGAGGAAAGAGCAAAAGCTACTAAAAGATATTTATTTATAAATGCTGCTGAACTAATCCAACATAGATATTATGATGCCTTGACTTTGAAATTGGGATCTAAGGACATGATGCTTTGGAAAGGAGTTTCTTATTTTGTTTTCACAGAGGATGAGACGCTGTTCATTTCTCCTATTCTGATTTGGTATGATGGACCACGTCCTCCTGAATGGTTCCTGTGCACGCCTTCAAAAAATTGCTTCGCTCAACTGCCAACTGAGATGAAACTAGCACACAGGTTATACCGTGAAAGACCTAATTAACAACGCCCCCATTCAGCAGGAAGCAGTTTGGAGAGAAAAAACTGCGCCCATGTTCCCAAATATGGTTTATAAATGTTCTTTTACATTTAAAGGGGGATATGATATAGGTATGAATAATTTGCATTAGTATAGATTTTGCTTTATTGATAGAGATTTATGGTCAATTTTGTTACATATATAAGTGTTTCTGATTTTGATTAAGGTATTGTGATTGTGTAGTTCATTTAAATATGTACTGTATAATTAAGAAATATATCTTTGTTAATGGATAATCATCGATAATAGTAAAGCTTGTAGTCATGTTAGTTAGATTTTCTAGATGTGCATAGATATATTTTAGATAGACATTCTTCATGTCTTTCAAAGATTACAGAATAGGACATTTAATGTTTTAATAACTGAGGACTTTTCATGACAATGAGACACTCTGCTCCTGGCAGCACCAATCTACTTCAAGAGGAAGATGGGCATCGAAGAGGCTCGTTATGGAGTTTGATAGCCATTTGGGCAAGAAACTGCTCTTGCCTGGACTATTGCATAAACTGGACACAGAGAACCCACAGAGAGAGAACTACTGAACTTGCCTAAGGTGAGATGATCTTTTGGGGTTCCTGATTCATGAAAGAGTCTGTGAGACATTCTGCAGGACACAACAGATAGTGACTGAACTGACTTTGAATTTTCCTGCTTTATGGAAATGTCTGCTGGATACCATGGGCCTGAAGGCTGAAGATGGATGCCCCAACGGTACAGAGGAACTTTGGGTGACTGTCCAGGCAGCGAGATGTCTCTGTCATTTCTATAGTTTAAAAGTTGCTTTTGTCTTGTTTGCTTAGGTAGTATTGTATCTTTCTGGAGTCTTTGATGGAGTTAAGAATAGTTAGTTATAGTTATAGTTTTCCTTAGTTATGATAAAGATTATTGTAACTTTTACTTGATAACTGTTTTGTTATATGTAATTTTGCTATGTTAAAGCCTTTTTTTTTTTTTGTTTAAACCGAAAAAGGGGAAATGATGGAGGAAGGTCATTGGCTAATAAAGGCACTGCCCTGGCCCATTTTATTGGTTAGAGGATAGGTGGGAGGAGTAAACAGAACAAAATGCTGGGAGGAAGAGGAAGTGAGCTCAGAGACTTGACCGCTTTCCTCTAGGGAGCAGACGCCTGAGAGAGACGCCATGCTCCTGGCTCCTGGGCAGACGCACGCTAAGAAGCTCCGACCCAGGATGGACATAGGCTAGAATCTTCCCGGTAAGCGCACCTAGGGGCGCAACACAGATGATTAGAAATGGGCTAAATTAATATGTGAGAATTAGCCTAGAAGAGGTTAGAGAGAAATGGGCCAAGCGGTGTTTAAAAGAATACAGTGTCCGTGTAATTATTTCGGGGCATAAGCTAGCCGGGCAGGCGGCTGGGGTGTTGGGGACGCAGCCCCGCCGCCGCCCTTATTACTTCACATGACTCTGGGACCTAGGGAGTGTCTGGAAGGTCCTGGGAAGGGCACCCTAATATACAGAGTGAATTGAGTAGTGGATGCCCCAGGCACGTGACTGACTCCCAAGTCTATGCGGTGTCTGGATGGAAGGATGGACTGCTATCGCCAGCCTGGAATCTGGTAGGGGTGGGCATTCTTAGGAGGTAAGAATTTCTGGGATACCACCGCCTTCCCGTTGCATCTCTGGGATCATTTCACCAGTTTACACTGAAGCACCGAGTGCTCACTACTGGACCTAGTGACTTTTTAAAGCTTTGGGGAGCCGTAGTACCCGAAGTTGGCCAGCTGCTGACCTATGGTCTATGAATAGTATTTTCCAAGGATAAAACAAAGTCCCAGTGTCTGGGTGACAACAGAGTTATTGACTAAGGGCCATTAGCTGTAGATGGTGAAAGGGTAGAGGCCAGTAGCCGGGGAGGTGGGGGAGGCAAGGGGTTGGCGGGGATAGACCCCGACTTTCTGCTCAGCAGGAGCCGGGAGTCGAGGCCCCAGGGACAACCCTTCAGGCCATTATCTTGCAGGGGCCGCGCGCGCCGTCCTTGAAGGGCTGCCCGGCTGACCTTGCTCCGTTTTCACCGCGGATTCTCCAGCAGCGCGCGGACGCGGGCGCCGCGGTGACTCAGTGCCCTGCGCGCCGCATGCAAATGCTCGTCTCCGACGAGGCTGGCTCTGCGGTCTGCGCTTGTCCCCGCGCTCCTCCGAACCCCACAATTCCAACCCGGCTCTTTCCGCCTTTCCCTTCCCCCTCCCCACAGCCCCGCGTCCTCAGGTTGCGTCGCCCACCTCGCCTCCGCAGCACCGAAGGGCAACCTTCGCACTCCCTGACTGCGGGCGCGGGGATCAGACACGCTGTCCTCCGGCCGGCCCCAAGCTCCGGCTGCCCCCGATCCCGAGCCAGCCCGGAGGGGGCGGTGCGCAGCGCAGAGTCTCAGCCCAGCCTGGCCGGCCCTGCTCCTCATTGGTCGTCACCTCGGAGGGAGGGCGGCCCGTCTCGGGCACCTGCCGTCGCCCCTCCACGGGCAGATCGGCGGCTGCGGGACACCGGCGCCCAGAGACAGCAGCACGCGAGGACAGGCCTGGGGCTCGGCGGACCGCCTCACGACTGGCCCTGTCCTTTCGCCACCGCGGCCCCGGCTGCGCTCGCGGGAAACTTTGCCCGGCGAAGTCCTCTGCCCTCCTGGCCAAGCCTTGACAGTTCACCTAACGCCCCCCGGGGCCCCACACAGCGCGCGTGATTGCCACGCCGCCCCTCACGGTGCATCCGCGGCGCCGGGCCGCCAGGATGCGCTACGCAGACCCCTCAGCCAACCGGGATTTGTTGGGGAACCGAACTTTGCTCTTCATTTTCATCTGCGCCTTCGCCTTGGTGACCTTGCTGCAGCAGATCCTGTACAGCAGGAGCTACATCAAGAGGTAAGAAAGTCTGAGGGATGGAATACACCCAGTCTAGAGGTGGCCAATAGGCAGCGGTGGCTTTCTCCGAGCAGGTGACAGGAGGTTTGCCCTTAGCCGGAGCGCACCTCCGTGGTGTGCCCTATTGCATCTCCATCTCTGCTGCTAGCTGGAGGACAGCGCCAGTTGTGTGCCTGTCGTGGTGTGTGTGTGTGTGTGTGTGTGTGTGTGTGTGTGTGTGTGAGAGAGAGAGAGAGAGAGAGAGAGAGAGAGAGAGAGAGAGAGAGAGAGAACTTTGTTCTATTGTGAACGTGGGCAGCACCTTGGAACGCCAAGCAGCTAAACTGACCATAAATGCATGTGCATGCCCAGAGCTGCGCTGTCCCCCAAAACCTACATTTTCGTGGTCATTTGGCTATGACTGGAAGGCCAAAGGTTTCTTTTTTTTCTTCTTAGTATGGCAGTCATAAATTTTTGTGGGGGACTTTGGAGGTAAAGGTTTTTTTTTTTTTTTTCTCCCCAGGAACCCGGGATTAGGTGGGATGGTAGTGGTTGGTCTGTGGCCACACAAAGGGACAGTAAATTTTAGATCTGTGAGACAAACTGATGGCCTTCGAAGTAGATGGTTCTTTCCCATTCATAGCCCCAAAGGTCAGAGCAGCAGAAGTTGAGCTCTCTCACCCCTTCTCCATCCACAGCCAAACTCCTTGAAGAGAAAGGGCAGTCGATGCTGTTCACAGCTTCAGTCTTGGTGTGCGAAAGATGCACGGGCATGCCAGGCTCTGCTGCCCCGTGGAGCCTGAGTTGCTGCCGGCGACCTGCCTGCCTGGAGGTGGGAGCTCTGCCCACGCTCCCGGGTGAGGGTCTCTAGTGGAAAGAGCCCCTCTCCTCTCTGTTGCAGGCCCCTCCTTCACCACCAGTGCCTATCTCATCTCACTGCCGTCCATTCAAATGGATAGCAATGGAAATGTCTACATACATACACACACACACACACACACACACACACACACACTCACCATCTCAAAAGTGCCTCAATAATTAAGTGCTGTTTTCTTCCCAGTCCTGGGGTTTGCATTGGCCACATATGCTCCTACTCGGGGCTGCCCAAAGAGTGGGAGAGGGAGGGTTGCTGTAGTGGGAGAGCTAAGATATCCGCTGTCCTTCCCTGTACCTCTCCAGAACTGAGGGCTATGTGACCCCTTGCCTCGTACATTCTTTTCCAGTCACCCACTGCTCCAGACTTCCCCAGGCAGCTCTCTTCCCTAGTTAGCACCAGCTCGTGTGCTCTGTGTGGTACTGGTGTCTTTAAATACACTTTCTAGTCTCCTGACTTGCTGTGTTTGATCGGTTCCACTAAGATGGTTCCCGAACTATCTGCCCTGCAGCCTTGCTGATCTTGGTACCTGCTTCTCAGTGGGAGCAGCTCTTGGTTTCCTCCCCCTGCTGGTAACTATCCAGAATTGCTGGGGCTCATGGAGCTTCTGGTGGGACAGGAGAGAGACATTAGCTCAAAGTAGGTGCCAACCACACTACTGCCGATTTTTCTGTCAAACTCTGCCTGAGTCTGGTTGGATGGACTGGTTGCCCAGAGCCCAGCAGGTGTATCATCAGTTGGTTCCCATTCTCCATCTCTCAGAGACACTGATCGCTAAACAGCAGGTAAAACCTTGCAGGCCTCTCACTTCAGGAATCCTGTTTAATGCAACCAAACTGTCGAGACTGGTATATGTTCCATCCTAGAAGGGAACCAAGGAAGGGATGCTATAAAGAAGCTGATGATGTGGTTCCAGTGCTCCGTGGGATTAAAGTCTGTCTCTGGAAGCAAACGGCCACAAGTGAGATAAGAAGTACATGGCTGAGAAGAGCGTCTGATGGGCCAGGGGAGACTGCTTGGAGAGGTGGAGCTCTCATGGGCCCTGAAAGCAGGCTAAGATCTAGATAGGGGAGGGACATGCACAGCTATAAGGATGGAAGCAGCAGCCCAGCCTGGGATACAGGCATGGAGCTGTCCCTTCCCGTGTCTCCCTCACCGATCTCACTTGGCTCCATTTCTGGTCTGTCTTCAGGCTCCCCTGGTTCTGTGTCTCGCAACTGACTCAGTTGCTTATGTGTCCTAGTTCATCACATCATAGTTGCTAGGAGTTGGCTCCCATCAGGAAACAACAAAGACCTGCAGGGGAGCTCCCTGGGAAGGCCCTGAGATATAGATTCCTGGGCCCTTGGGTCGAACTCCTTTCTAGGTTGTCATCTGGAAACCCATCTCTCTAACAGGCTCCGAGGAACTAATAGCAAACTCACTTGTTGCTGTAGATCAGTAGGTCTCTGTCAGGTTAATTTCACCCTTAGACATTAGATAGCTGTACTGTCCACACTACTATGTGTACTATGGTCCTGTAGTCAGTGCTACTACGTGTACTATGGTACCACGTAGTGCAGAGCCTGCACTACGAGAGGGTTCTTTCACAAGCCCGGGAAAGGGCCTGGAGATTCACACACACATACACACACACAAACACACACACACACACACACACACACACACACACACGGAGACATGGGTCATTCTTGATTTCCCCAAGAATGCTCCCTTTAGTGTATTCAGGGGCAGCTTATATAGGGATCCTTAACTGATAGCCACGCCCTAGCCAAACGCACCAGAGACCACTCGCCTGACATCAGGAACTCCCGAGGGTCTCATGCTCAGAGCAGCTGCAAACGCAGGAAAACAAGTTGTTTTCTAATTCAGAGTCTGGGGGTCCACAGCCCCAAACAAATAGCCATGTCTTTAGTTGTCACATGGGGACAGGAGATGTTACTGTCATCGAGGAGGAAGCCAGGGGAGATGTCTGAAAACTCCCCAAGGCCCAAGTTGCCTGCCACAGCCAAGATGGTTCAGCCCCAAATGTGGGTGGTGCTGAGGTTGAAAACTGCACGGGGCCAGAAGCTCTGAGCTAGGGACTACAGTTTGCTTTAGGCTGCTTGTGTGTTTAGTAACAAGTCATTAGTAAGTATGGAGAATGAACAAATGATTGGAGACAGAAGTAGATGTGTGTGTGTATGTGTGTGTGTGTGTGTGAATGCGTGTGTGGGTATATGTTTAGTTATAGTCATTGGAAGAGACACAATGAAAAGATGGATCCCATGATGTAAGGGGCATCTTGGTATGTGTCAGACAGCAGTGATTAATGGTTTCAGTGATGTGCTCTAAAGGATAGATTGAGCGTGGTTCTAGGTCATGGGGAGTAGGGTAGTAACTTGGTAAAAGTGCCTGGAAAGGAAGGTTATTTAGGTGTAGTACAGGAAGACTTGGAGGAGGAGGGACACCTGGGGTATAATCTTAGCCACTCAAAAGTGAGGGCACGGCTCAGGGATTCAGAAGACAGCGTTAGAGGACAAGGATGGCAAGGTTGTCTAGTGATGTGGAGCCGTCACAGAGTGAAGTGGGTGATGCGGGTCGATGTGTTTTATTTATCCATATATTTATTTATTTATTTTGAACCCTCCGTCTTGCCTTGGGGTGTGCAATGGAAATTTTGACAAGGTCCACCATATGCCACTAAAATTCTAGCGACGTACGTCTGTGGGGGACAAAAGGAGCAATGTGATGACCTAATAAGAACCATCTCTGTGGAGCAGAAAGCATACACCATGGCTTGGGAGGAAATGACACGGAAGGAGCGAGGTTGTGATGTGCTTGGCTTCCCATGTCTGCTTCAGACTTACTACACATTAAGTACTTACTACACACTGAGGACATACTTACACTGAGTACTTACTACACACTGAGTATTTACTGTATACTAAGTATTTCCTATGCACCGAGTACTTACCCTACACTGAAAACATACTATACACTGAGTACTTGCTGTGCACTGAGCACTGCTGTGCACTGAGTACCACTGGAAGTGCTGAGGATAGTGTGTGCAAGGGCCCAGGTATGGAGAAAGTGAACAAACTCACGGACTATGAGGAAGACAGAAGGGCTTGCATAAAGGCATGGACAAGGGACCCTAAGGGCGAGGAGGGAGCTGCTTCAGGATTATTTGGCTTACAGAGAACATTTGAAGTGGTCTTAAAGAAAGAGGAATGCTCCTTGGGCACAGGTGGAGGTGGGAGGGAGGTTCAGGAGGCCAGCATGAGCCAGGGATGAAGGGCAGGGAGACTGAGCAGTCCACACACAGCAGGGCTAGAGCCGCACTGTCCAGGCAGAGAGACAGACACAGAGTATGGAGAGCAAAGTGAGTGTGTGTGAGAAGGAGTGTGTCGGAGGATGGAGAATCATGGTTTGAGTGTGTGTTTGCTTGGACACGGAAGGCAGTCTGTCTGGAGCAAACCAGCAACTCTCTGGAGAGGAACTCTGAAATGGCACAAGAGGAAGGGCCAGGCTAGCGATGAGGCTTTTGGAATGAATCTCTTGCCATCAAATCAGCGTGTTCTGAACTTTTATGATTGTGATGTCCAGTAAGAAAACAATATCCTTGGGGATAGCGAATTCTGTGAAGTAAGAGTTGGCTTTACTATGAGAATTGTGCCCTGATATTTTCTACTCAATTCATCAAAACGCTGTAGGGAGCTGGAGAGATGGCCTCAGCAGCCTCCTGCAGAGGATCTGGGTTTGGTTCCCAGCACCAACGTGGTGGCTCACAACCATCTGTAGTTCCAGTTCCAGAGAATCAGTTGTCCTCTCCTGGCCTCTGTGGGCATTGTACCATGGTGCATTTTCCATACATGCAGGCAAACACATACACGTAAAATGAAAATAATTAAAAAACCCTCTAGAAGAACTTTCCGTGGCTGGGAATGTAGCTCAATGGTAATGGTGCACTGGAGAGCACGCATGAGGCCCCGGATTCAATCTCCAATACCCACCTTTCTTTTTCATTAAATATATATATACACACACACACACACACACATACATATATTTATTATTTGGCCTTAAGGAGAAAGTTCTAACCCAGACTGCAGCATGGATAAACTTGGCACTCTTACGCTAAATGCAACGAGACAGATACAGG